GGAAGGGCTGATCATGTGCATGCCGTGCTCCACGCCCGCCGGCAGGTACTGCCGCTCGGCGAAGGCCCCGCTGGGCGGCGACGAGCAGAGTAAAGTGCTTTGCGAGGCGCTCAGTTTCTCCGGGCTCGCGGCCAGCCGGGGGGAGGTGGGGAAGTTGTATCCGTACAGGTTGTAGGGGTTGTGGAGGGAGAAGGCGTTGTAGGAGCCCTGCTGCATGTGGCCGCCCCCGAACACGTGCGGCGAGCCGGAGCCCGAGGCCGCGTTGCCCGCCTGCATCACGTACGGGAACTGCGAGGCGGGGAAGGAGCCCAGCTGCCCGCCGTACGCCTCCATCTTGCTGTTGCTCGGCAGCGAGGGCGGCGTGGGGATTCCTGAGATCAGGGAGGGAGTCCTCTGAGGCATGAAGGTCTCGGAGGGCTGCGCGGCGGCGGCGGCGCCGCTCTGGAGCCGGTTGTAGCCGCCGTCGCTCAGGCCCGGGTAGCTCTGCAGCGCGGCCATGTTGCTGCGGGCGCAGGGCGGGTAGTCGGAGAGGTTCAGGTTGCACAGCTGGCTCTCTCGGCAGCCCACGTTGAAGGTGTTGGGGGCCAGGTGGAAAGTTGGAGGAGAACAGGATGGAGATAAAAGATGAGACGAGGCCGAGGGGGACGGCGTGCCAGTGCTGGAGGTGGTCGGGGAAGTGCCTGTGCTGCCCCCTGAAAAATAAAACATGAATTCCACTGAGACGGCGGCCTTTTAAGTCGTGTCTGTCCGGGCCAGATGCGGCCGTGCAGGAGGCTCCCTCGGGGGGCCAAGATGGGCCGGTTTGCACAGAACCACTGCTTTCCCTTAATCCCTTAACTCAGCAGACTTACGGTAAGTGATGCCACCTGTGTGCGCATGCGCGCTTGCACACACACACACACACACACACACACACACACACACACACTCACTCACTCACTCACTCACTCACTCCAAAAGAGGGGACGAAGGGGGTGACCAAAAAGAACACTAAAACCGTTTGTTTCTCTGTTAAGTAAGTCTTAGTAAGTCTTTTTTTTTTTTTTTTTTTAGAAAAATAATAATTAACCTTCTAATCACTCTGTCATTTCTTTTACCTGGCACGGTTGCTTAATTCATCATATTTAGTCTTCCAGCTGAAGATATAGGATACCAAGTCTCAGGACCTTAATCTCAGAGGAAATGGAGAGCTTGGGTGGGGTGGTCAAGTCAAGGCTGAGGCCTGGGAGGGCTGAGCAGAGGGGCCCAGGTAGTGGGAGCTGGGGTATGGGACTGAAGTTCTGTCATATGAAAGACATTATGAGAGCAATTACAAGAGCATAAAGCAAAGCTAACCCAAAACGAAATCATTACGATCCAGAGGCTCTGCTAATCTCCTTTTATAAAAGCTGCCCCGTCTCAGAGACTGGAACAAATACTGTAAATGTCAGAATGGGTAATAAAGGCCGGAGATCTGCATTCTACTCACGGCTTGGCTACACTAACCCTCCATCTGACCCTAGGCCTACCACTTTCCTCTCTGGGTTTCAATTTCCGTACGTAGAAGATCAGAACTTGAGTTAGATCAGTGGTTCTCAAGCTGGGAGAAGCTGCGAGCTTTAAAAGCTGCTGAGGTTCCAGGATCCCATCCCAGATCAACTAAATGAGAATTTCTGCGCATGGCAGCTCCACATTCATATTGTCTTAAAGCTCCCCAAACTATTCTAATGTGCAGCCGCAGTTGAAAACCAATGATACAAACTAAATTCCTTATTTCAAAGTACCCGAGTAGTGATTCCTAAACTTGAGTGTGGTTCAGAATCACTGGAGGGCTTGGAACACAGGTCGTTGACTCCGACCCCCATAGTTCCTGACCCTCTAAGTCTGGGGCAGGGCCTGAGGATTTGCATTTCTAGTAAGTTCTCAGGTAATACTGACACTGCTGGTCTAGCGAGCACATTTTGAGTTAGAGGAGGACCTATAGGTCCCTTTCAACTAATAAAAATCCCTGAACCTGTATCTGTATCTGTATCTGTATCTGTATCTGAAAGGGTTGCTCTTATGATGTGTGGATATTCGAACTGGACTGCTGGCAGGTGCACCAACAGATGAAGGGCCAGTTCAACACAACCTACTTTGGCCTTCAGATAGCTTAAGAAGGTGAAATATGACCTTTCTGAGCCTCCCCTTTCCTGGGCCAGGAAGCAACAGTGCAGCATCCACTTCCTGTCTCCCCGCTGAAGTTCAAAACAGTGGTGAGTGCTGGGGCTGCTGGACCTTTTGTTTGAATTCCCCAGAATGAGCGGATGCTTTGTTTTCCATAGGGACTCTCCCATGGTGGAGCTTCTCCTTCAGGGCAAGGTTAGGAGTTTCCCAGAACCATTGAGAGCTATGATTTCCAAGGAGGTGGTACCCCTTAGGTCATCCACAACTCATGTAGGGACTCTTAGCACCTGAGCTACTACAAAAGGATAAAGGATATTTTAAGTGGAAAAAAGCAGGAATACAGTTTTTATCAGTGAGGGAAATATGAAGGAAATGGCAAGAAGCCAGATATTGGGTTGCAAAAAATCATCCATAGCATGCCAGGAAAGAGGCCCCAGATGTGCAAAGAGAGAGGAAGATACTCAAAGAGAAGCCAAAGTATATTTTTAGCAAAAACAAAAAAGGTCTGAGCCTACATATACAGAAATGGTAGTAGTATTGGGTGTAGAAATACAAATTTAGCTCTTAATAGTTCTTTTCAGTGTTAAATATTTCCAGAGCCCAACTAATATCTCTTCCTTGGTCAAACAAATTTCCCCAATGAATTTCCAAGGTAAAACTGGATTTAGTTATAAATAGCTGCTGATTTTAGAGTCATTTCAGGGAGGAGTCCTTCCTAGTTTCTTTTTATGCCTTAAATTCCTTTAAGAGAGGTACAAAGACTTTTATTCCATAAATCGAGATAAGACAAACATTGTAACTACTTCTGGAAGACATCAGCCAGCAGCTGACCATGGTAGAAGAGCACCAAGCCCTATTCCAGTTCCACTGGCATCCACCCAGCTCATGACCACAGGTGAAGTGGGCTACCTCTTCATTGCTCTCATCTGTGAAAGGAGCTGAACTGACTTCAGTTTCTGTTTTTCTCAGAATTACATTTGTGTCTGAGGATTCAATTGTGCTAAAGTGTGAATGGCCAATTACAAGTACTTTCCAGGAACTTTTAACATAACAAAGGCCTTCTGGAAGGGGAAGACTGGGAAAGGCGAGAAAGAACCTTTCATGCCTTGTTTTTGCACCTCTCAGTGCCCTGCCTGCAGGGCCTGACGGGAAGCTCAGGAATTCATTTTCTGTAAGCCTGTGGTTCCTCTTAGAGGCATTCTACACATTTTCCCTTGTCTTTCACCCTAATGCAGGGAGCTTCTGTGAAATAAATGCTAAGGCACAAATGGAGAAACTCGACTCCAGCTGTACAGAGAGTTGTGTTTTATGGGCTATGTATCTGGTCTCCTCCCTTTGAAAGCCCGTCCTTGCTCTCCCAGATCTGGTGTTTATGTGGTCCCCCAGGAGAGGGAGAGCCCCTGCTCAGCACACTGCACTGTCCTCTTACAGGTAGGCTCCAACAGGCGCTGGCCCTCGCCCTGCAGCAGGAAGTGCAGGATGGAGCAGATGACTTTTTACAACTCTAATGGTTTTCTCGGATGGCCCGAGATGGAACGAATGGTACTGATTTAAGGCCTCAATTGGTTTCACTACAAAAAAAAAAAAAAGACGGGAACTATTAACAAGTTACAGGGATTTCTGCTGAGCAGATGAGAGGCACATGTTAAAAAGTTTGTAGTCAGCTTGCTTTGGCTTTTAAATGACACTCGCTGGAAATGAGACTTGGTGGCCTGCTGGGCTTCAGGGGCTGGGAGCCCCCCATATGAACTAGTGTTTGAAGGGGGAGAGCAAACCGGTCCAAGAGAAGGTCACAATGCTTCCATTCACTTTGAAGAAATGCTCTAAAGCACTTAGAGTGCTCAATACAGATAGCAACGAGTTCTCAGAGTCCACACAGAGAGAGAAGACTGTGGTATGCATTTTGCAGAGAAGCAAACCGAGATACTGAGAAGTCTTTACTCTCTCATGATCTAACAACTTGTCAGCTGTTAAACGAGATGAGGAGTGCCAGCCAAGTGCTAAATAAGGAGGCAGGCTGCCCTCCTCATGCATTTCAACACTCGGCTGCCTGGAGGCCTCTTATCGCCGACAATCTCGGGCCCAGTGGGAGGCCAGGCTGCGCTGATGCGGAGGAGCAGACTGCCTCTCAGAAAAAAGCATGCCTTCCTTTCCTGCATCCTGTCTCTACCCACCAGGTCCAGATGCTCTAGGGTCTTGACTTAAACTTGATTTAAAGATGATCATGGTCTATGGAGTCAAACAAACTCAGTCCAATCCCAGCTGTTTTCCTGGCTTAGCAAGTTAGCCTCTCCATATAGATGGAATTACGAGTCTCTACCTGGTACCGGTGTTTTAAGAAATAGCTGAAGTAATATATATGGCATTAAATATTTGTTTCCTCTTCCCATGTACGAGTGGAGTGAGGGAAGGAAAAGGGGATCCTGGTGCATTTGGGTTCCAATGGGATGGCTCTCAGGTGTTGGCCTCTGTCCGTGGAGCTGAGCATCTCAGCCTCTCCACAGGTAGATGCCCCGATGTAACAGGTTAGAGGACAGAGCACTGGGCATGTGACAGCTATGGACCCACCAGGGCCATATTCCCAAAGGGCCATATTCCCAACTCTGTTTCCTCTCTGAACTGTCTGCCCCTCCACACTCACCTCTGCCCCGAGGGACCCGGGATGTCCCATGTCTCTATCTCTTCTCAGATCAAGCAAAGCAGAACTGAACACAAACAGGTAGATTGAAATCTTTCCCCAGTGGATTAAGACCCCTGACTGTACTCAGAGGATATAAATGTTACTCCACTTCTGAGAGGTGATTAAAACATAATGTCCATGACTTATTTATTTCAGATCTGGAAGTTTGTACCTCTTAGTCCCTCACCATTTTCAGTCCCCCCACACCGCTGGCAACCATCAGTTTGTCTTCCGTCTCTGTGGGTCTTTCTGTTTTTGTTTGTTTGTTCCTTAGATTCCACATATAATTGAACAGGGATGCACAGCACAGGGAACATGGTCAATAACACCGTAATAACTTTGTACAGTGACAAACACTGACTAGACTAGTCATGGTGATCATGCTGTAAAATATATAAATGTCAAGTCACTGTGTTGTACACCTGAAGCTAATATAATGTTTTTAAAACCATAACTCCCTAAGTAACCAAAAAGACTCTTCCGTTCCAAGACCGATCCCCCACCTGGCCCACCTCCCTGTACCCTATTTTATTTGTTGACCAAAGTGAGGAGGGGCTCATTAACATTCAAATTCGACATTAATTTGCTCCAATATTCAAGACTAAGAGCCAGAATTAACCAAAAAGAACCCGTGTTTAGCAGTGATTCCACCCACACCAGGGCAGTAGCCCAGAATATACTTGTACACCATGGAGACAGTTAAACGTGACTGTGAAAATCCTGAATAGCAAACCTGCTGACTTTTGCATCTTTAAATTGATCACTTCCAGGCTGTAATATGGAGGCTTTCAGATACAGCTTCCTTTTGGGTTCATTTTGTTGTGCTCCTCCCCCCCAAAAAACTTGAAAACATTAAAACAAAACCCCATCTGGGCCAGTAAAGAACAAATTCCATGTAATTACTTGGTTCCACGAGCCAGACTCCTCTCTCACGTAACACTCGATGGCATCTGTCCCTGAGGAGTGCTGATTCACTGTGTGTCCTTGAGTAGCCTTCTTTGAGGCTTTCAAACAGGTAAGAGGTAAAAAGTCAGCACCCTATGCACTGATTCCAGGGAATCAGCCCGGTAGCCATAAAGTTTAATGATCACAGCCCTGATCATCCCAACCAAGGGATTACCCTAAGTGGAAATGAATACCTTTCTCCAAATACAAATGTGAAACATTAGAGCGCCGATGGGAATTGTGTGGTTTCGGTCTTAGGAAGACTCCCAGTGCATCCCTTTCCATATGGTTTAAAGATATGCATAGATCCAAGCCTCTTCCCTTTAAAACGGCTTTCGATATAGTCGCTAATTCTCGTTTTTCGCATTGGTCTCTGCTTCTTAGACGGCCCTGTTTTATGCCTCCCACATTCCCTTAGGGGCACTGCTCCCATTTTTTTCACTTTCCATAAACCTGTTTGTGTCTCAGTCACCGGTTTTACTGCCTTCCTCACTGCAGCGCATATCCGTTATTGTCAGCAAATTAGGACTAGGCTGCTTCTCTCCTGGCAGTGGTACCCGGTTTCCCACTGAGAAACACCCTCTCTTCCACTCTCGCCCCTTTGCCTGACCTCCAGGAAAAGCATGTGACTCCCACCTGGACAACCCAGGCATCGCTTTCCCCACCCCCACTGCCCCGGCAGTTGGTTCCGGTGACTCGATTAGAGCCAATGAGACTCAATGGGATTTTGCTAGAAACCTTCGAAGAGAGGCACGTGACCTTTCCCAACAGATTTAAACCTAAAAAGGCCTAGGTCTAGGGTTGCTGACAGTTAAGTTACCACCCTGGGGAGCCCGAGAATGAAGTCAGCTGAGAAATGAAGACACCTTGGAGTAGGGTGGTGGCAAGGGAGATTAAGATGTGGATGGATCTAAGAACTTGGTGATGGCCAGATACGGTGGAGGTGGGGGGACCTCCAGGCAGATGAATGGATGGTGGTGTCCTTGCTCCAGGGGAAGGCACCAAGTCTGTGAAGTAAATCAGACTCAGTTTTTGACACGTTGAGTATAACGGACTTTTGGGACAAAATAGAAAATGTAACCAATAATTGTTTGTTTTAGTGATAACTGAGATGTTCTCTAATCCCTGTCAGGAGCTCCTCATGAGCCTTGTTTCTTATCTCAGTGATAAAGGAAATCGGCTATGTTTGAATCATTATAGTGGTCACAGAGGAATTCCAAGACTGCTATCCATTCAACTGCTCTCCTTTCCCAATCTCTTACTAGTGTACATTTGCTCAGTAACTGATCCTTCTCACTGAACCACATCAAATTAATACAAATCCCCCAAACCAACAGAGACCCTCATAACCCTAACTTTAACTACCTGACAAACATTAAAACAGCCAATGGTGTTGGAATCTGTCTAGTGATGTCTGCTACCAGCTGAGGAGAGGGAGGGCTTCTGTAAATGGCAGGTCTCCTCATTCCCACAGAAGAAGACATATTGCATCTCTGGTGTCACTGGTCCAGGAGGGTGCCTTTTAGCACAACAATTGTGAGATACACTCAGAGACTCTGCTCACAAAAGCTCTGCTCTCAGTTTGGGCCATACAAATAGCTCCATTGTATATGTCATTATAACATCATCGTCAAAACAACATCCGAACATCATCAGAACAACAGCACTGAACTTGGCTATAACTGGCCTGGGCTGTTATTTCTTTCCTTCTGTCTCTATATTTTCTCAGTCAACTTCCCCAAGCATAGCTTAGTTGGTTAGTTCCTTTTGTCCCTGTCACTAGCAGTGTTCAAAGAGAAGCCATTCCAGAAATAAAATTTCTATCCCCATATCTCCAAAAGTATAAACTCCCTTGTTAGTTCTAAATGAGTATGTCTGAAGATCAGGCCATACATACTTGACTTCATTAAAATGAAAGATGGGCCTCCTTAGAGTTAATGCACAAGTTGTTGAACAATAAACCATCAACTGGAAGAGTAAACTAAATTTTTGTATAGAAAAGTAAAACTGTACTAAATAAGAATGAAGAAAGGTAATGTCTGGTGGAAACTGTCCTGTCAAGTATGAGATCCACTTTCGAGTTCTCAACTCACTTCCACCACTTAACTGCAGGTACGGCACTAGACGGCTATATGCCTCAGTTTCTTTTTGTGTAAACGGCAGAGGATAATGAATCCCAGGTATTCTTCTTGTAAGAGTAAACAGCTTTATAGGGCACCCATTCAATGTGAATTTAAAAACAAGGATTTGGGTTTTTGAAAAACTGTGGCTAATTCACCTAAGGGCTTTCCTTGAAATTTTATTAAGGTGGATCTTAATAAAAGAGAACTGAAAATGAGCAGGGGCAGGATGAAAAAAGCTTCCTTAACCTCATCCAAGCAGTTAGGTGGGTGCAGCCTCCAGCAGCATGGATCAGACATGCCAGGGGGCCATGTGTTTGAAGCAGTGAGGAAGGTGGGCACCTTGGTAGGTCCGTCACCATTTGGATGTTAGCTTCAGTGCCCACACTGCCAGTACTCTCCTCCCTAAAAGGTAATTGCTACGCAGTCGGTCTGCCACTGAAGTTTCCTCTAGAAGCTCGCCACTCTCTACTTCTAAGACACAAAGACAGTTCAACACAGCTGGCTGTGTCTCTTTTCCTCATTTTATCAGTGACACTGTCCAGAGTTACTGGAACTCTGAGTTCTTCAAGGGAGAGGAAATGGGTATGTTACTTTTACGTCCATTGTTAACGTCAAGAAACCAAGCCACGTATTTTTTAATAATGAGAATCTGGACCACGTTCAGTATACAGTTCAAATATGTATTTCAATTAAACTATTTAATAGTCTTGGCTTTTCCTCTAGCCTGTCCCACTGCCATATGTATCCAATAATTCAAGCTCATCCCCCCGAGCCACCACCAATGAAAAAGGGAGTCACTGAGTAAGTGTGATGTTTTACTTCGAAAGTTCAGTTTCTTTTAAACCATTGTTTGCAAAGTATCAGCAATAAGTCTTCGTATTGATACATTTTTAGTAGAAACACCATGAAACCTGAGATGTTGTACATCTAAGCAACTCATGCAGGCTCCCTGTGCTGCACTGTGCCCAGCAGCCCCCCATGCTGGCGAAATGAAGTCTGCATCCCCGACGTCACTCCACACCCACACCCACACCCACACCCACACCCACATCCACATCCACACGTTAGGTGGTTGTGCTCCAAGATGTAATCAGACGGTGATCTTGCCTACCTGAGCCACAGTTCCACCAAGTGACCTCATTGATTGTTCATTAGGTACTTCCTGGGTACCAGGCCCTGCAGTAAATCTTGGGGACACCGCAGTGAATACAATGTCACCACCAATTCTCATTCTCAGGAACTGGCAGTATCCCTGCCAGCCTTCTCACGGCAGCCCCCATGACACAGACTCCCGCCCACTGGAGCTTGGAAAGTCAGTGAGTGAGGTGTCAGGTGAAATGCTGCCTCTGGACCCGGCCTGTTTGCACAAGTGCTGATGCTGTGGTTCTTTACAGAGCAACCAAGTTCTCTTTGTTCCAGGAAAATCAAGCTTGGCGTGGGGCCAGATGTGCTATATTCAGTTCAGTGCCCACTCCCTCCCGGCCCTGTCTCTGAGCAGAGGCCCTGCCCGGGGCTTTACCTTGCTGCTTTTGCATGGTGGTGAAATCCTCAAAGGTGAGTGTGCGCACAGGGGGTCTCCAGAATGCATAAGTCTCCATGATGGCTTCCAGTCCAGTTCTGCAGAGAGAAAAGCCAGCAAAGGAAGTTGTAAATAATCCCCAGAAACACACTGACTTGTCACAGATCCTGGGTGATTCGTCTGGCGAGTAGTATATCCAGAGGCACTGAGAGACAGCAGACCAGTAAATGAGCCTGGAAGAGCACGAGGCACAGATAACGCGCTGGGTGGCAAGAGGAAGGAGAAATGGACCCAATCAGATTATTTGCAAGCAAGTCATGACTATAACAGAATTTCCTTCTGACCTTTCTTCAAAGGAGGTGTGGTCTGCATGAGAAAAAGAACACGTTAAGGTCAGGGTACTAATATCGTGAATAGAGTTGAGCAGAGAGTAGCCTTGGCTGTTTCTCTAGCACAAGACAATGTCATCATCATTACCAGAGTGCATCGTGTGTCCCAGAGTCAGCTCCACCACTGGGTATGTCACGTCAGTGAAACTGACAAGCAGGGCAATAGAAATAAAAGGCAAAGTAAGCAATCAAATAGACTCGAGTTTCTGTTGCAACAAGAAATACGTACCTGAAGGCAAAGAAAGGGGTTGATCCCAGAAATTATACATCAAGCAAAAAGACTGATACATTTCTGCAAATCTTTATCTGTATTTTGTAATCTAATAATCAAGCTGGCCTTTGAGGGTCAGAAATTGGGACTGTCAGACTTCAGAAAACACCCAATAGTTTGCAAAAACTACTTTAAGGTTTCTGTTTCATTGGTTTTGGAAATGCCGTTAATTAAGCTATGCACGCACTACTACTTAACTCTTCAATGAACTCTCTATATCATTTATATGAGGTGTTGACGGACATCATGTTAACATAATTATCCAGGTTATCTCAGACATTTTCTTGCTGTTATTCCATCTCATCAAAACAGTATTAGATAGGGTTTCATTTAAAGCTTTGAACACAGCTTCTGATTACTGACTTTTCTGTAAAATTAACTGCTTCTAAGTGGAAGAAGGGAAAGCCCAGGGACGTTGGAGAAGGTTGGAGAAGGAGGGTAGGGAAATGGCATAAGTCACTGGAATGTAACATGGTGTCCCTTCCTGGAAAGGACAAGCTTTCCCTCTTAAGATGAAACTTAGGCTGCCTGCCCTTCTCCCTGGGTAATACAGTTCCAGAGTTCTCTTCTGTCTTGCGTACCAAGAAGAAAGTGAGAAGTTTTATTTTAAGTGAGAACAAATATCCTTTCCTTATAAATGACGATAAGATCCCCTGAGGTCCTTCTCAGATGAGCTGCTGATAAACTGATTGGCCTCTTGTGTTGCAAAACTTCCTCTCTGAACAGGCCTTACTTGCACAGTTAACTTTCTAAAGTCTTCTCTGGAATCCTGGAGGCTTTAAATACACCAATGTTGGCAAATCAAACTCTGTATTTTTAGAAGAGGTGGAGCGGAGAGGGTGTTGCATGGTGTTTATTAGCTGTTAATCTGTTAAAAGTAGGAATAGAAGACATCCCCACATAGTCACCCTACGTTAATGTTGAATGCAGTACATGAAACTATTTGTGGAGAGAAAGAGCCCAAGCAATTAGGAAGTTCAGAATAATAAGGGGATAGGCTGGTGAAGCCACACTGAGCCTTCATGAGCATAGAAAGAGGACAGGCTGGGCTCTTACTGCCTTGTTTTGGAATGTCGGTGGCTCATGAGAACATCTTGGGGTTCCCTTTAGTGGCCTGGGAGGCTCACTGGTAGGGCAAGCTGCTGACTGTTCCACCTCCTATCCCATTCTTCCCAAGAATGTGTACCGATTGTGGTGACAAAAGACTAGCTCAAGAACAAAGAACAGTCCCTTCTCATTTCATAATAAGGTGATAGAAGACTGTGAAGTACCAATAACACACTGATATACTGCCAATATTATAGTTATTGAAGGAAGAGAAAATGAACTTTGATTTCATTTTCATAACAGGCAAAAAGACTGGCAGATTTATTAATAATTTTATCTAAAGCAGTCAGCTCTATATAGGATAGTGACCATTTAGCCATTTATCCAAATCCAAAACCCAATTGACTGATTTAAATAGATTTCAAAAATGGGAGGGATATTGGGTGTCACCCTCTGATGCCATCTTGGGTGGTTAACCAACCTCTGTTGGAGTATTTCCCAAGGAAAAGATTCGGGTTTTTGACACATCTATTAGAAAGTTCTTTCTGACCTTGGGCTGAAACCTCTGGTGCAACGTTTACCCTCTGGTTCCATGACGGATGGGTACATGGTGAGAGTGCCAGACATTCTCACATCCTCATCAGGGAGACTTTCCTAAGCCATGGAGGATGTAACGTATGACAGGCCACATGTGGATGCAACTATGGTCCACCCAGTTCAGGGAGTCTCACAACAAGGGCCATTTGGTGATAGAATTGTGGGGGAGGGGCTATGGCTACCCAAAAATATTGGCTAAGACCACACATTGCTAACAACACTTCACTAATCCACTGTTTATGCATCTCTCATAGATTTATCCTAGGCCCTTAAGGAATCTATTTATGTATTCAGGGTGTTTCTCTTCTTAGAAAAGTTAATCATATTTGTTTACTGTATGCCACATCTTATTTGTCCTCAAATTCCATGAAGCTTCATTGGCTAGGTCTAGTTGTTAGAAAGTACTAGTTCTATATATCAGGATTTGGTGAAGTGCTGTGGCAAGATAAGGATTAATAATTCACCTCTCTCACCACCAGCCCGTGTACTTGGGAGCCCATGGCTTTTTACGTCCCCGTGCTTAGCCCAGTGCCTGTTGCATGGCAAGATCTCAGTGGATATGAGTCATTATTTCATGAACTTTAACCAGCATTCATTTTTCAAAGCCTAAAACTGAGGAAAACAACTTGATGTAAAAGTCAAGACTCTGAAGACAGTAGGAATCATCTAGTATTGGAGACTTGGGAATCATTTCTATAGCTGATTATGCCTTTCTTGACTAGAGTCTCAGAGAGGTTTCAGTTTTCCTTTGGTTTCTTCCGTTTGGGTCATGGAATTTCTGACCTTTAACAGAGTCTGAGTCCCTGAGCTGAGCCAGTCAGCCCCACCCTCATCTTCACTTACAAGAGTCCTTGCCAACCACCTATTAACATCTTCAGCCACTTGGCTGTCTGTTGCAGAGTTTATCCCGAGTAACTCATTGTTGACTTACTCATCATCATAATAACTTATTTTTTGTAATATTTTATCTCAAGGTTCTTAAATGTGAATTCATTGTCTAACAAATAAAAACGTGGTCTTAGGTAACCACATATCGTTAACATGTTCCACATGGTGAGCCACTCTGGGTTTGTTGCACACCAGAGACTGATGTCATCTCTGAGGTTTCCAATCAGAGACGATCAAATTGGCAAGTGTCCCCCTCTTGCTTACTTTCCCCTGTTTGCTCCAGTGACAACAGAGGCCATATCCAAGCCTTCTTTGTTCAGTCCTTTGGCCGTAATCACCTCTTTGATTTCCAGGCCTTTTCTCTTTAGACTTTTCAGTCTGCTCCTTGGCCAAGCCAACAGAATGTGCTGAAGATGAGGGAGAAAAAGAAAGGAAGGAAGCAAACCAAACAGCCTTGAGATCAACTGATTTGAAAAAATAGCCAGACTGTAAAGAAATATTCCTCCAACCTTCTCATTCAAAAAAAAAAGAAAAGAAAAATGCTAGGACCATCCCTTTGAAGTTCAGCAAATATGTGATCATTATAACAAACAGCTACGTTCATGAACCTGTTAGGTAGCACACCAATGCATGGTTTCTGCTTCTTATTTGTCCTGAAACAGAGAGCTACTTCCTATGTTTCTCCCACTTATTTTCTCTGTAGTTCTGCCTTCCGACTCTTCCCCCATCCCATTTGCTGATAACAAAGGGAACATGTGCTAGGAGTTGATAAAACCACTGGTCACCTCTCAATAGAAGACAGTCAAGAGCTAAGGGAAGCCTACTGATCAGGATCTTGAAATCATAAAGGAGTGATCCAACCTAGGAAACAATTATGCTAGCTTCAGGAGCTATTAAGGTAAAAAAACACAAGAGCTTTACCCTATAGGAGTGTCCTATTCTACAAAAAGAGAACATGTAAATGGCTAATTTCTGAACTGTGTGATAAATGCTACACTGGAGATATGTAGGTGCCATGGAGCACTGAGCAGGAAATACTTAATATACCTGAAAACTCAAGCAAGAGTCCGTAAAAGGCCAGTTATTTAAGCGTAACATTAAAGGGTACTCAGCAGTTTTCTACACAGACAAGAGGCAGAAAGAACTTTCCTGGTAGAGTTAACAGTATATGCAAAGACTTGGAGGTTTAAGAGAGAAGGCATGTTCTGGGAACTGAAAATAGTTCAGGGTGAGTGGAGCTCGTGGTACAAGATCGGGGGAGCAGGGGGCACACCATGGGTATTTATTTCATGTTAGATGCTTGGATTTTATCTAATGGGCGGTACTGAGCCTCTGAGCTCCTTTTCTTTTTCTTCCTGTTCCAACGTTTGAAAAGACAAGAATATACTGTTCTTTCAGATCTCGTTACTGTATCTGAGCTTTCCACTCCTTTTTCTTAGACTGCCCTTGGTCCACCGAGGTGAGGTCAAGCCTTCCACACACCCTTCTCCTTTGCTGGATCTGGAATCAGCTCCTACATCTAGAGAGATTCCTCACAGTATTTGTTGTCTGGGGAATATTCTTAAAAGACCTCCCAGCAGAGGTCTGCAAATTGGCAAAACAAAACAGAACAAGCCAAAATTCACAACTGGGCTTTAAATGGTACAAAAAGTATATCTACATGATGACTTGGCTGCCACTGATGTGCTCAGGATAGTTTGGAAGAGCAGGCAGGTGTCCAATGGACAGATGCTTGGAGCGGAGTTAAAATTGTTTCTTACGCAGTGATGCCAGCTCGGGAACGCTGGCCCGTCTGAGTCTGAACAGGCAGTCCGCAAAAAGTCTTCCCTGCCTCAAGAAGCACAATGGAAAGCCATGAAAACCCGGAGCGAGCTAACTGAAATATTAAGTTTCTTTGCATTTGACT